GTTTTTCTATTGGTCAATGTTGAGCTGGACAGCTAAATTCATGAACTAGATTTGGTAAAGTTATTGATGGAGTAGTCCAAGAAAATCCCTTAGCAACAAATGGTACAACATTAGTGTTAATTCTCCTACACCATATTTCGCAGCCAACAATGCCTTAAGTTTGCTTATAAGTTATATATAAGCGTTTGAACCAATATTGTGTTTGTTGCATCCCAGCCAGCCTAATAAGCTCCATATTGAGCAAAACATGTTGTTGGCAATGATGCTGTTAATTTATTCTGGTGAATTATTTTGCCAAAAAGCCGTTTTACTTTTATTTTTATTACTAAACACTATTTTCCCCTTTTTAAAAACTTTAGGAAATGAATAAAGCAAGTAGTGTTGAAAACATAATAGATCTAATACTTGAAAAAAATTAAAATATTAAATATTAAAATTTTTATTAAAATATTTATCATTTCAGTTGAATAGATATAAAGTATTAAATTTATTTTTGACACATATAATATTTCCTTACTTAAAACAAGTACAGATGCAAATTGGAGAAGATGTGTCTATTTTGCCCCCAGTGGCACAGCGGTATGTCTGCGGACTAGATTCAGGGTTTCGATACCCGTGGTGGGCAGAGCACAGATAGCCCATTGTGTTAATTTTTGCTTACTTACAAACAATCAATTGTATATTTTATTGAAAATTGTCACTTCTAATTGTAATGATATGAAAATTTTGTTAAGTTACAAACTGGTTGGTTTTGATGAATTTAAAAACAAACAAACTAGAAATACAGTTGCTATGTAAAGAATAATTACTAATAATTAATACTCGACAATTACTTTTTGCTGTAGGTGGTATAAGTATCTCAGAGCTTTGACTCTGAGTGAAACCGGGAATGTAACACAGTTAACCTTTGTAAAGTCCATGAAATAATTTAGATTGATAGATTAACTAAAAACCTTCCCGCCACTGGGGGCGGGTACTTTTGCTTGTGTCATATATAGTGCTTTTTGTAGCTCCCTTACGACTTGCCCCCAAGGATTTGTACACTTTATGTATATCCATTATAACTCCAGACCTACACACAGTTCGTACCTAGCTATGACACTGGTCTTTATTCAAGTATATTTGAGTAATTTATCCATGCACGCATGAAGGTGTTTCTACTAGTATCTACGATATTTTTATAAGCTAAGTTTAGAAAGGATATACAGTTGCACTAATCTTCTGTTTACATGGGACAATAATAGTTTTATAAGGCTTATAGTTGCTCAACTCTGTTTCTTTGTAATGCTTTATTAAAGTGAAGTCGTACTCATTAACAATCGATGTGTTCGAAGGAAAAGAAAGGTTGTTATGGAGACCAGTATATGTGTGCGGTATTCATCTAACTGGTGTCCTCTTATAGAAAGTGTGGTATCTCTCAGATAACCAACAGAGTAGAGAAGCTAGAACCACTAATAACAGGAGATTTTCAGACCTCACAGTCAGATCACAATAGTTTATACAAATAAATATTTGATGACACTCTCACAGTTCACAGAAGAAAACAATACAATACTATACCATACCAAAATGTAATAATACAATAGGACAATTGATCAATGAGTGTGTGTGTGTGTCTGCAATTGATAAGAGTGTATGAAGACTTTATTGAGTGTCTTGGCTTGTCTATCTTTACACGTGTGGAGACTGTAAGGGCCTCCTATATTGACAAAACCAAACGCCATTTAAAAGTCAGAGCCTATGAACATATGGGAATTTCCATCAAAACGCAAAAAACATTGAGTAACCCCTGTGTTTCCTCTATACGCCAACACAGTGAAGAAACAGGACATTAACCGATGCTATCTAATTTATCTATCCTCTACAAGTCTAATACGG